TATAGTAGTGTACTAGTGGCTCAGAGAGATACTCTGTACCCTCTGATAGTTGCATCTCACCCCAGCGGGTAACCTAGAGTGTGTCACCTCCTTGCTTAGGGTGACTTAATAGATTGGTGGGAGACCCTTAAGATGACTCCATGTGAGGCCTTGTATGGGCGTGAGTGTAGGACTCCGCTATGTTGGATAGAGCTTAGTAAGGGTAAAATAGTAGGCACAGACTTAATCATACAAATAAAGGAGAAAGTTCAATTAATTCAGAACCGATTAAAGGAAGCTTCAAACATGCAGAAGTCTTACACAAACTTGAAGCGTAAAGACATTGAATTCATAGTTGGAGATAAGGTGTTCCTCAAGGTTTCCCATGGAAGAAAGTATTCCACTTCGAGCGCAAAAGAAAGTTTACTCCTTGCTTCATATTTCCTTATGAAGTGCTTGAAAGAATCAGACCAGTGGCTTACAGGCTGGCCTTACCACCAGAGTTGGGGTGCATCCACAATGTGTTCAACGTATCTATGCTTAGAAGATACCGCTCAGATATTTCGCACGTCATACCTTTAGAGCAAATTGAGGTCAGCCTAAATATGACCTATTTAGAAGAATCTTTCAAAATTTTAGCAAGGAAAGAGAAGAAGTTAAGGAGCAAGAGGATTCCTTTAGTGAAGGTTTTGTGAAGGAACCATGGTGTTGAGGAGGAAACTTAGGAAATCAAAGTGGAATGCAGCTTCATATCCTCACCTCTTCTACCCATGTAAGTTTTGAGGAAAAAATTTTATTTAGGAAGGGAGAGATGTAACGCCCCGGATTCCAGGTTAAGAGTTTCGGGCTAAATCGAGTTGACCTTGATTTAATTCCTAAGTTCATAAGAAGTTTTGACCCAAGTTGTTTCAGTTTTGGGCTTGGGTTAAACCCAATAATGAGTAAAAATGGTAATTTAGTTTGCAATTAAAACCAAAAGTACCAAGGAGGTAATTTGACCTTGGTTCAAAATTAAAGCTAATTTTCATTAAAATTGGGTGATATCACGTCTGAGTAAGCTTCCTCTTTCTGTCCTCCTCCTTTGTCTTCTTCCAAGTTTTCATATTTTCTCTTCTTCTTCTTGCTTCAAGTTGCTTAGTTAAAGGAGATAACTTGGTAGCCTTACAACCGTAGTTCAACAATATCAAGGTAAGAAACACTTTCAGCACCTCTAGAGCTTTCATTTGAGTTCTCAACTTCATCACTTCACCATGGGAACCAAGAACGGGTCTTTGTGGGGTTTAAGAGTTTTCAAGATTTTATCCCATTTTCATTAATCTATAGACTTAAAAAGTGTTTTTATTACCTTCTTAATCATTTCATTCGGCTAGTAATCCATCCTTTGATGTTTGTTAGAGAGAAGTTGGAGAGAGATCCAAAGCTAGGGAAAAGAGAAGATCACTCTTGGTTGAGTTCTTGAGAGATTCCAACAGTTTAAAACATCAGGTAAATCATTTCTAACTCACATATATCATGTGTAACCACTACTAGAAAAAAACCCCTTTAATGACGCGTATTGTGCGTCATTATGGGTATGACACACAAATGCCTGTCGTTGAAGCCACTTACATGAATTTTTGATGACGCGCAATTGTGTGTCATAAATATATGACACGCATTTATGACGCTCATTGCGCGTCATTGAATCCCCCGTCATAAATGAAGATGACACACATTTGTGTGTCATAAATTTATGACACGCATGTATGACTTACATTGCGTGTCATTGAAGCACACGTCATTAAAAAATATGACACACATTCTTGTGTCGTGATTGTATTTTGTAAATTATATATATATATATATATATACATATTGTAGATTGACAAATAATCAAACTAAATCACATTTAATGCCTCATAATAATATATATATATATATCATATTATATATAAGCAATCCATTTGCATACAATATATTCACATTAAGTTATCAAAAATATTGTAATCATATGTTGATACAAAATATCACGACATAATAAAGTTCTACTAATATGCCCTCGCCATCCGGGCGTGTACACAAGAAATCATCATGAAGTTCTACTAAAGGGGAGTCTTGTGAAAAATCAAAAGTAGCATGGTATTTCAACATATCATCAGTTTCACCATTTGCTCCATACTTGTACATCTTAGTGGTGTGAAGCTGATAACAGACAAATTCACACCTTGTCTACCTAGCAAAAAGAACACAACTTGGAAGATTCATTGCATACTATTAAGTCTGTTAACTAGTTAAGATTCTGCAAACTTTGATAAGTTAGAGAACTACTAAGTGCAATACAATTCTCACAAGTTTCAATTCATACCTTCTACATATCTGATCCAATGGAGTGTGGTAATGATCAAACAGTAGCCAGATACCATATCCAAGCTTCCAGTGCTTCTGCAACTTGTATTTCAGAACCATATTGTGTCATTAAAGCACTAGTGCTTTTTGAACTATATTGTTTAATTGAAGCAGTATTATTCTCACCATTAACTTGATCATTCTCATCCTTGGGAGCAGGAACTCGCTCTCTATAAAGACGATATTCAGGCAAATTGAAATATGACATATGAACTAGACTAAGTTTGGGGGAGAAATTATGAAACTAACATGATTCCTAAAATTTTATGAAGCATACCTAGGCAAAGAAGCATGATGTCTTATAAGTGGAATCGCTCCTCCATAATGCTCCTCCAAATGTGCAAATTGTCATTTGAATCGCTCAACGCCACTATTTGATTGAAAAAGAAAAAGAATACTGTTATTTGCAATGCTAGAAGCAAATGTTATCAACTGGAATTTAGAATTTCCAGACCCCCACCCCCTATATTTCGCTTAAGCACTACATAACTTGAAATGAGGATTCGATCTACAAAACCACTCAAAAAGTATTACTTTACTAACCTGTATCTAAACTGTATAAGGACAATCTTGGACATCATATTAAGAAACAAGAGGATTTTTTAAAGGATATTAAACAACAAAAGTTAAGAGTTTCAAAGGTACATGAAGTTGGTCTGATCCCGACCGCGGAGGTACTCCTGCCATATTTTCTGCAGCCTCTGTCATGAGGTCATTAATGTTTCTACCTTGAAACATGTCTGAATTTGAGGGCTGGAAAAGAGTCATGAGGAATGAAATGAAAAAATGCCCTGAGGAAAATGATGGATGAAGGATGATCCATGACATTGCGGATTAGAGTGACTCTTCTTGAAATAAAGAAGAGGAAGCTCGTCACATGCATGAAACAGAACTCTGAGGAGCTCCTCCATTATATCCCAAGAAAATCCTGTGCTAAAGAAAATGTTGAGTATGAGGGCTTTTTTTTTAAATAGTTTTCCTTAAACATCCTGGAGCCCCAGTAAAACTCAACGAAGGATGATTGATGATGCTGAGTCGTGTACTATGAGATCATACTGATGTGCAGCGATCATGATAGGGACCAACACCTTAATGCTCTGGAAGTAGGATACTTTTATTTCATTACAACAGGAACTTTATCTCACCGTGAAATGTGCATACATATTGCTCTATATTCTAATTTTTACAAGCATTTACAATTAATGCATGTTATCCTTCTGTTAAGCATTCAAATTAAGCTAGTTTTTTAATAGAGTACCAAGATTATACTTGCAATATTCAAGTTCAGCACAAAAAAATAGCTTGGTTTCGTTTACACATTGAAACTAAAAACCATGTGAAATAGATTTTAACTGTGATATAATTAATAAGAAAACAACCTTTTAAGGTCAAAATACTTTCGAGTTCTGACACCTTTATAACCAACGCATCCAGCTAAATAGCACCAATAGCATGAGAAAAATAGTTTAGAAAAAGGAGCAGGAAATGATGCTCATGATTCTCACATGGAACCAATTTCCAATAACGAGAAACAATACTCATTGGACTTCATATCTACTCTTTCAACTCTCCCAAATTTTCTGAATAGACGTTCCAAATCAGACTGGCGTGTATCATACTCAAAGTTTCACAGAAAATGGGTCTCATGTTGCCTGAGCAGAAGAGATGACAATATCCCATCAGTATTTCACACACAAAACACATACATGTGTACAAGCACAAACAAACTTATGAAAGAACAAGTTAAAACTAAAGCGTTAACTATCAAGTAGTAATGCACCAGTGCAACTCCAGAAGAAGAGACTTTCTCTAAATGAATTACATCTCTCATTATTTATATTTTGATCCATCACATAATAAAAAGAAAATTATCAACCACATCTAGTGCACGATGTTTTTGAGGTCTTCGAAAAGAAGGGGAGCTAAAATCAAAATTACAGCTGCTGGATCTACATCAAGAAAAAATAAAACCAAACAGCAACCAAATCACAATAAAAATATACAAATCATAGATTTGTGCTAAAACCTCTTCTTAGATGCTAAGATAACAAATACATGAGATAAATGATGGAACTAAATAATTAAATTACATAAATCATAAATACTAATTTTCCCATCATTTTCATGGAAAATAAATCAGATGACTCTGGAAATTAAAATTAAATAGAATTTGAACACAAAAACAATGGTTAGAGTACGAAATTACCTTCTGGAGCAATGATTCCAGAAAGAAAGAAAAAATCAAGGAAAGTCAGGAACCCTAGTGAAGGAACCTTGCGATTTTTCACGAAATGAGCTCATGAGTCAATAAGTATAAAAATATATATGGATGAAAAGTATAAAAATATGGATTGATTAAATCCATTGCTTGAAACTAGATAAGCAAAAGTACTAGCTTGTAAGCATCGGGAAGCGAAAGCCACTGCTCGAAAAGCTTTTGCGTGAATTCGAGATTGGATTTGAGAACAAAAGGAGACATCTTCAGGAGTTGCAATAGCTCCAGATCCAAACACGCTACGTCTCCAACAACAACTGACTCCATCTTCTTTTCTTCGCTAACCAAACGCATCTTAAACAAAGTCTCCACTCAGATCAAATGTAATGAGCTTTAAAAGAATACAACCAACATATATGAGCTCAGAAACTTACTTATTGTAAGTAATTGAAAATGTGAACAAGGTAATTCGATTTTTAGCTGGGAAACAATTGGAAACCCTAGATCTTCATGGAAGCAGGGAAACCGAGCTTGGCGATTTTTCTTTCTTTTTTCTTTTTCCCCGTTAGCAAGCGAGTGATTTGGGACGAAATAAAGTGGTTTACAATTGAATGGTGGAATAGAGAATGAGGAATACCTGTGGAAACCCTTAAATTTTAACTCCCTTGTCTCTGCATTGTGGTGAAGGCCAAACCAGTGGGAGGTTGAAAAGAGAAAAATGAAGAAGTATGCGGCGTGAACTATCGAGGGAGAAGAAGCGGGAAAGATGAAAATAATGGGGGGGAAATTAAAATATGACTTTTATAGATGACACACAATTAAAATTGTACTACATGTTTTTGTAAATTTTTTGGATTATGACTATTAAATATGACACATTATTGTAAGTCATAAATCGTTCAGATTTTAAAAAACATGACATTTTTTTACACACATTTTTTGCAAGTCATAAATAAGCGTGTGTCATCGTTCGTGTGTCATTAAAGGTATATTTTCTTGTAGTGAACTCGTTTAGATGAGAATTGATAGGTTGCATAAGCTTGAAGTATTTCTCATGGTAATTCATATTTTTGATGTTTCAACATGTGATAAGACCTATTTATGACCCCTAATGTCAATAAAATACTTAAACATCAGTTGGGGACCTCAATGGGGCATTTGGGTACGAAAAGATAGGATTTTTCATACCAAAGCATATCACCCAGTAGTGGCAGTATCGATACTGTTCATATTATTCTTTAGACATGCATAAATCGGTCTGTTTTATAAGGGTAGTATCGATACTCATTCATTGAGTATCGATACCAGGACAGGAGTATCGATACTCCCCATAGGGGAATCGATATTGGGCTATTTTTTCAAAATATCAAACCAAAATTTGTATTGATACTCAATCAAGTATGATACCTCAGTACCATAAAATTTATAATCATACTAGAGTATCGATACTGACTTAATTCAAAAGCACAATGGTCAGGAGATATCGATACTAGTCGGTGTTATCGATGCCCAAAGTTATGTACTGATACTAAAGGGTCAGTACTGGTACCCACAAACATTTTTGAAAAAATAATCTAAAGATTAAGGGTTCAAAATCGAGGTACCCCACATACTTAGAACAACACCAAATAAGACTTCAAGAAGAACAATAATAAATATCATAATAGTAGAAATAATAATAATTAGGGTCACATAAAACTAGCCTTGTGTGACGCTCGATACATAGTTAGGACACCCGAGTTATGGATCCAAGTCAGTGCTATGGTACTTCAGTTCCCAGGGCGTCAAATGCCTCAAGACTCAATGGAGTTGTTGGCGGGTGTAAGTGTAACACCCTCAACCCGTACCCGACCCAGATACGAGTGAGGTGTCACATTGACTTTCAAACTTTGACTCTTGACGAAAAAAGTCAAGGAAATTTAAAACTTTCATTAAAATAACATTGTTACTTTACAAAAGTTAACCAAAACAAGACAAAACTGATCAGAGCATTTGTAACAGACATTTTTCTTACATACCAACACAATACATAACAAAAGACATACTTTATCGTTACTTCTGATCTGATCTTCTAGCAGTGCTGCTGTTCTTGCCACTCTATTTCAGCTCTTCCTGATTCTTGGTACCTACATGTAAGTCACTTACACGCTAAGTCATAGACTTAGTGAGACATATAAATATAATAATAATGCATTCCGTATGAATATGAACACGCAATCTATCCATTCAATCATGTCATATACAATTCAATGTAAACAATAATAATATGGTAATATATAACTATAACAATGCAATTACCTTTGATAACCTTTTATAGTCCCATGTACATTTTTGAGAACTCAAGGTATTCGAGTACATTGAGATTGTGCATTATGCTGTCACCATAACTCGTATGGGTCCCACTAGGGCTATGAATTTTTCCCGAAGGACCTATGTACTGTATTTGTCCCGAAGGACCACTCCTTAAGAACCATATACATATTCCAATGGATCAAATCTGTCTCAAAAGACACTGTAAATGTTCCAAAGGATACATATATGTCCCGAAGGACCACGTAGAACCCTCGACTTTGGCATGACAACTATACCTATAGCTCTCATATCGTATACCATGGGCATTATTCTTATATTTCATATGTTCATGTATTCATGTCATTTCTCTTGTGATCATATAACTCATATATCTTACCATTTCACATGCGCATTTAAATCTATTCACATATATCATTTATCAAATCATATGAACATATATACTTTATGCATGTATCATAATAATTATCATGTATGCATGTTCATAACTATTGTGATATGAAAATCATCATAGAAATTAGACTTATCACAAGTCTTATTCCATTGTACCATACTTCTAATATGTACTCACTTAGCCTTGCTTTGACTCGATTCTAATCCTTCAATTATTCCGGAACGAGATTACGTTCTAAATCTACATATTAATACATTGATACATATCAGTATACTAATTGATATATTCTAAACTATCACTCCTTAGGCTAATAAGAAAGCTATTTTTATCTTTTAATGAAGGTATACATCGATGCACTACACCATGTATCAATGCATCCCTTGACGGGTGCATCGATGCACTGTCTATGCATCGGTGCATAAATCCTATTCGATGTTTATATTTTAAGCGGGTGCATCGATGCACTCCTTATGCATCGATGCACTAATGGCATTTGATGTTTCCATTTTTAATAGGTGCATCGATGCACTTCATGTGCATCGATACACACTGAACAATTTCTAGAAATACCTTTGATGCATCGGTACACATTGAATGTGTATCGATGCACATAGAGTAGAAATGTCATTTTAAGCTCGAAACCCATCAACTCTTCACTCAATTATTCTATTTTAAGCCCCTATCATGACATTAAACTCAACTACCATTACTTAAACCAACTTATATCCATATAAATCATCTTTATCTTCGATATCTCATCATGATTATTAAATTTTAAGAATCTTACCAAACTTTCAACTTTGTTATTAATCCTTTCCAACTTCACAAATCTCTTATTCTTATTGATGGCAAGTCAAATTTAACTTTCAATTCTTATTATAAACTCTATTTCAAGATTTCACTCAAGAACTCCAACCCTTTAATCTTCCCTAACTCCTTTATCTTTTGATTTTAAGATAACTTTAAGCTTAGTTATACTCTAATAATCATAACCCAACCTTAATTTAACCAGAAATTATCTAAATAGAAAACTCACTTTTGCTTGGCTTCACACGTGAAGAAGAAGAAAAAGGAAGAGAACTCTGGAAACCTCTAAACTTTTTTTCCTTCCTTCCACGTGTATCTATATATACCATTATTAAATATTTTTTCTTTGCAATTGACCATACTACCTTTCATTCCTCATTCTTTTCAATTTAATTCTCCACCACATTTCTCATATAAGTCTTTAAACCATTCAATTATTCTAATTAAATCTCTAGATTTTGAAATCTTACAATTTAGTCACTAACCCGATATTTAGGATGTTACAAATCTCCCCTCCATTTAAGAAAATTTGTCCTCGAATTTTCATTACACATAACGATAAGAACATATCTTTTAATGTTCTCTTGCTCCTTTCTCTACTTTATCTCCTTACAATTTATAATTAATGATTTGCTTTCACTTCCCCAAAGACCCAATCCATTTCTAATTACCTTATAACCATAACCAATCTCTCAATCCATCATTCTTTAACTCAGAACACAACCTTAAATCTCTTCAAATGTTATTAAACGTATACTTTACGAAATCAAACAATCTTTTCATAACACTATCTACCATTTCCCTATCTATTTACTCCTTTATAAATCACTATCTCCTTGTCTCATAGATCATATTTTTCTTTATTCCAGTCACAAATTACTTATCCCTTTTTATTACCTTTAAATTTTCAGTTAATTCTTACTTCCGCCAAACATACAAATCATTTATCTTTATTACACTCACTATCATACTACTTTATTATTCAACTCATTTCTTCCAATAAAACATACCCCACCATCAAACCATTCATATACTATACATTCTTACCAATCAAAAATAGTTCGTCCTTCATTTCTTTAACTTATCAAACCTTCATTCTCACTTATCCATAATACAATTTCCTTGGTTTGGATTCAAACATTCCATTTACCTTTGTCTTATAAACTGATTATTGATGTAAATATTTTCCAATTCCCCCAAAATAATAGTATCCATCACTTGTTCTTTTAATATTCCCCTAATAACACCTATTCCTTCTACCTTATCTTGTCACTGAAGTAAAGAAACTACTTTATTTAAGAACGATAAAGATCCTCTAATTCTATAGTTTCCAATCTTACTTCAAATCATTTGAATAGCAATTCCATCAATTTAACAGGAAATTCAATTCTCTAAATTCTAATGGAACATTCTCAACATATCTTATTTATCCCAACACTGTACCCTAATAAATTTGTCACTTCACATCGCTATAAATAACTTCTAATTGAATTATCAATTCTCACATCAATTTACTACTAATATATAAATATGCAAGTCCAGATCAATCAATATCATAACATATCTATTACATAATAAAAGGTACCTATTATCATCTCTGGATCATCAAAATCTTCATTAGTATTCATATTATATACTCAAGCAGTGGAACATATTTCCTGTTGAGTAGAGGATTCATGTTGACTTCTACCTCTTCCTCTACTTCTTCCTCTTTGAGAAATCGAAGCAGATCGCTCCGACTGTACTGGTTCTCCTGTCCCCAATGGACAATCTCTAATGAAATGTCCCACTTTACCACATAGAAAACATGCTCCCGTAACTACCCTACACGTTCTGCTATGGCTTCTTCCACAAATTTCACATTGTCTAATTTGACTCTGTTGTGCTCGTCCATCACCAGACCCTACAGATTGAGTTTGTCTAGCTCTCATCTAATTTGATTCTCTCGCAACGGATGCCATCGACTCTGATTGTGCTGGAGATCGGAAACCAAAATCTATACTTCTCTTAGGTGGTGCAAAACTTGATGAAGCCTAGTTCTTTTAGATGATCGGGTTCTTTGATTCCCAAACCTTTCATTTTGAGCTCTCTCTAAGGCTTTAGCACAATTTACTACCTCTTGAAATGAGGATAAGTTCAACACTATCAGCATCTCTTTTAAACTTGTGCGTAAACCCTCAACAAACCACACGCATTTTTCTCTATAGGCACTAACTTTGCTGCAAAGTGACTTAATTTATTAAATTCGTACTCATACTCATATATAGTGCGGTCCAATTGCTTCAGGTTCAAGAATTCTTGCTTCTTTTTCCTGATAAACTGGTCTCTTATATATTTGTGTTTGAACTCATTTAAGAACAAGGACCAGGTCACTTCATCACTTGTCATTCTCAGAGTGACGTTTGTCCACCAGATTCTCTCTTGCCCACGAAGCAAGGAGACCACTCCATCTAACTTCTCTACATTAGAACAGTGGAGACCATCTAACATAATTTTTACATCACTAAGCCAAAGGTCCACAACAACAGACCTTCTTCGGCTTCACCTTTAAACTCCGGAGCTCCTAAACCCTTCAACTCGTTTACAACATTCATTCTCGGAGTTGAAGTAGCAGGAGGTTGGAAACACGTCAATCCCGCATCTAATGTTCTGAAGAACATATTTTGATCAGTTACAGGCACTTTAGAAGGTGCATGTTCTTCACCTTGCCTGGCCAGGGCAGGTGAATTACTACTTTCAGCGGGCCTATCATCTCCCGCTTCACTTCTAGAGCTACCATGTTGGACATCTATAAGAACATAAATATATCGTTCTATTAGCAAAACAACATACTTACTATTATATCAGATCATAATTTTCATTATTTTGTTGGCATGAATACTTTATAGGACACTCTAGACTACGGTTTATGCCGAGAATTGACTAAACGTAGCTCTGATACCATTAAATGTAACACCCTCAACCCGTACCCGACCCAGATACGAGTCCCAGGTGTCACATTGACTTTCAAACTTTGACTCTTGACGAAAAAAATCAAGGAAATTTAAAACTTTCATTAAAATAACATTGTTACTTTACAAAAGTTAACCAAAACAAGACAAAACTGATCAGAGCATTTGTAACAGACATTTTTCTTACATGCCAACACTATACACAACAAAAGACATACTTTATCTGTTACTTCTGATCTGATCTTCTAGTAGTGCTGCTGTTCTTGCCACTCTATTTCAGCTCTTCCTGATTCTTGGTACCTACGTGTAAGTCACTTACACGCTAAGTCATAGACTTAGTGAGACATATAAATATAATAATAATGCATTCCGTATGAATATGAACATGTAATCTATCCATTCAATCATGTCATATACAATTCAATGTCAATAATAATGATATGGTAATATATAACTATAACAATGCAATTACCTTTGATAACCTTTTATAGTCCCATGTACATTTTTGAGAACTCAAGGTATTCGAGTACATTTAGGTTGTGCACTATGCTGTCACCACAGCTCGTATGAGTCCCACTAGCGGCTATGAAATTTTGTCCCGAAGGACCTATGTACTGTATTTGTCCCGAATGACCACTCCTTAAGAACCATATACATATTCCAGTGGATCAAAACTGTCTCAAAAGACACTGTAAATGTTCCAATGGATACATATATGTCACGAAGGACCACGTAGAACCCTCGACTCTTACCATGCCAACTATACCTATAGCTCTCATATCGTATACCATGGGCATTATTCTTATATTTCATATGTTCATGTATTCATGTCATTTCTCTTGTGATCATATAAATCATATCACTTACCATTTCACGTGTGCATTTAAATCTATTCACATATATCATTTATCAAATCATATGAACATATATACTTTATGCATGTATCATAATAATTATCATGTATGCATGTTCATAACTATTGTGATATGAAAATCATCATAGAAATTAGACTTATCACAAGTCTTATTCCATTGTACCATACTTCTAATATGTACTCACCTTAGCCTTGCTTTGACTCGATTCTAATCCTTCAATTGTTCCGGAACGAGATTACATTCTAAATCTATATATTAATACATTGATACATATCAGTATACTAATTGATATATTCTAAACTATCATTCCTTAGGCTAATAAGAAAGCTATTTTTATCTTTTAATAAAGGTATGCATCGATGCACTACACCATGTATCAATACATCCCTTGACGGGTGCATCGATGCACTGTCTATGCATTGGTGCATAAATCCTATTCGATGTTTGTATTTTAAGCGGGTGCATCGATGCACTCCTTATGCATCAATGCACTAATGGCATTCGATGTTTCCATTTTTAATGGGTGCATCGATGCACTTCCTGTGCATCGATACACACTGAACAATTTCTGAAAATACCCTTGATGCATTGGTACACATTGAATGTGCATCGATGCACATAGCCCAGAAATGTCATTTTAAGCTCGAAACCCATCAACTCTTCACTCAATTCTTCTATTTTAAGCCCCTATCATGACATTAAACTCAACTATCATTACTTAAACCAACTTATATCCATATAAACCCTCTTTATCTTCCATATCTCATCATGGTTCTTAAATTTTAAGAATCTTACCAAACTTTCAACTTTGTTATTAATCCTTTCCAACTTCACAAATCTCTTATTCTTATTGATGGCAATTCAAATTCAACTTTAAAGTCTTATTATAAACTTTATTCAAGATTTCACTCAAGAACTCCAACCCTTTAATCTTCCCTAACTCCTTTATCTTTTGATTTTAAGATAACTTAAGCTTTCCTTAAGCTTAGTTATACTCTAATGATCATAACTCAACCTTAATTTAATCATAATTTATCTAAATAGAAAACTCACATTTCCTTGGCTTCACACGTGAAGAAGAAGAGAAAGGAAGAGAACTCTGGAAACCTCTAAACTTTGTTTCCTTCCTTCCACGTATATATATATACCATTATTAAATATTTTTTCTTTGCAATTGACCATACTATCCTTTCATTCCTCATTCTTTTCAATTTAATCCTCCACCACATTTCTCATACAAGTCTTTAAACCATTCAATTATTCTAATTAAATCTCCAGATTTTGAAATTTTACAATTTAGTCACTAACTCGGTATTGAGGATGTTACAGTAAGTTTATGATGACAGAATTCTAGATTCCCACCTAGTAGACTAGAGGGGTGTGAGCTTCGAGATGACAGAATCCCTTTGTCTCACCATGAGGCATGCCACAATTTAGCAAATTAGGTTTCAGTATTTTATTCCTTCGCGTGTTTCAAACATGTACTGCTAGTCAGCTCTTTAAATAAATGCATAGTATAGTACAATTATTAGTGAGGCACTGAGTTTGTAAGCTCAGCGTTCAAAATGTGTTTCCGAGCATAGGTTCTTAGGGACGGATCGTGGGGAATTATCGTCAGCAGATATTCCAGTACAGCAGACCATATTAGGAGTGACTATCAGAGTATGTCTTGAGTCTTCTTTATAAGCATTGTACTATTTATGGACCCTTGTGTGTATTCAGTCGTATTTTTTAATTGTATTATTTTGAGATATATTTTTTGGAGTTCCCCATTGTTTGTGAACCCAAATCTCCACGTAATGTTTTAATTGTTATTAATGGATTATTTTTAGCGAATTTAAAAAACATCTTTTAAAAAAAATTGGGTCACTATTTTGGTAGTCCTGTGTGACATTGTAATCCATAGATCTTCAGGTCAAATTGGATTAGGGTGTTACACCGATATTCATAAGGGTATTGATACTTGACCCTAGGGTATTGATACGACAAGTAAATTATCTATACTACCCACTTTGTATGGTTAGATTTGACTTGTTTAAGGCTCGTAAGAGCTAAGGATGATTCGTAATAGTAGAACTTAGTCCGTGAGGGACATAAATGACCCAACATACCTACAAACACTCATAGGGGTGTGTTACAACTGATGTAACCATACCAAGCACAATACGTGGAAGTACCTTTAGTTGAGCACATATTCGAATGGTTAAGAATGAGGATCATTATAGGGGATGTATCGACAAGCGATACGGTGAGTATGTCAAATTTAGTAATGGCGAAAAGATTGAGCTTCGAGAGTATCAATGAAATGAGGACGTGTAAGCCTAGTTACTTCGATTGTCTTAGTGTGACATCAATTAACGTATGTTGAGACCTTATCTCTAGAGAAGAGTCTTACAATAATAATGAGATAGAAATAATGTTAATTGTGCGCCAATCATAGGAATTTTATAAGGTAAGATTCTATAAGACTTATGCCTATGGTTGTCGTTAGAGAAATGATGACGACACCAGAGCACTTGTATAAGAATGACAATTTTCCATTTGTTTGAGAAATATCTAGATATATCCAAGTTAGTTCCAAAGCACTTTAGTCACTGGTTGTACATAGGCTCCGATATTATGTGACCCAGACGCATCCCAAGTACATTTAGTAGTAGACTAGCATGACATAAGCTTCGATGCTATGTAACCTGGAGACGTCCTATGTATTTGGAAATGGGGGCCTTTCTAGATGAATATTTCGATGCTAAGTGGCTCGAGTCTTATCTAGGTTACCTTTTCTAGGATACAGGGGCATGAGTCATGAGATACTGAGTGACCTTCTGACTATACCGTGATATCTACATTTGTTAGGGTGATGGTACCATACGTCTTTGTGATACTTAGTATTATCATTGTGTGTTGCATGATGATGCATTATAGGATGATACTGAGGTTAGAGACCTAGTATATGTTTACACATGACGAGACCCTTACCAGAGACTAAGGGAAGCGTGAGACTTATATTAGAGATATAAAACTGTCAAACCCTAAGTAGGTAGCACTTGATTATGATCATGCATATACCTATTGTTTAATACCTTATCTTCTAGCATGATTATGATATAAGATTCTTATATTGCTCTAGGTTAGCGATTATACTACTAGACTTTGTAAGCTTAACTTTTGGATGTTTTTGTTTGTAAGTTATTACCTTAGGTCGTTCGTGGAACACCGTCGCAACAGGACTTCTAGCATATCTAAAAGAGTAGTGTACCATAACTTTAGTGGACATATGTATTCATAGAACCTTGCTTATCTATTTGGTTTATTGAACTCAGAGTTGTACCATATTGATTTTAAATTATGTGTCATGGAGCTATGATTTTATAAATGTATTTTTATAATTATTGTATTTATTTATTTTGGTACCACATAATATGTTTTTAAATGAGAATGAACATGTTTTGAAAATTAGAGGTCATTATAGTAGCCAAATGTGGCATTTTAGGCTCGACCATGTTTATGGTTTTACTTTTAATGGTATCATAGTGTCAGGTTGAGTCGGTCCTAGAACCCAGAGGTTATTTATTGTAAAGTGTCAGTAAATACATGCCCCTGGGTACTAAAAGTACTCGTATAAGTCTGAAATCCGAATGGTTCCTCTCTTTCTTAATTTGTATTATAGAAATTTGAAATGGTTAATGATTTGAAATGGTTCCTCTCATCCTAATAGCGTCATCAAAGAGTTATTGGCTAGGGTTTGGGATTATAGGGTTTCATTAGGCGTAGGAGCCGTAGAGGCAACCTTCTTCAGAGGTTTTACTTCCACTCTCATAGAGATAATGGACGTTATTCCTAGAGAACAAACCGTTTAGCCAACCTTCTAGAATATATTGGTGCAGATAGAGTCCTCAGTAAAGAGATTAAGGAGGTGTAAGATAGTCGACTTCTATGGCTCAAGTGATGATGATTCGATTTCAACAGATTAATGTTTGAGAGAGGCCATGAGGACTTTGAGGCAACTTCACCTTACCCCAAAGGGTAAGTTAGAGTATGCCACCTCCTTGCTCAAGGGTGATGTTATCGATTAGTGGAGACTGTAGAGATGGCTCTATAGCCAGAGATGTCTTCATGGGACCATTTCCTAAATGAGTTTAAAGGTAAGTATATCAATAAGACACATATGGATGATTTAAGAATATAGTTATCTCAGCTAGTATAGGGAGATCGCTCGGTGTACGATTACGAGAGAGAACTTCTTCAGAGTCACTATGCTTTGGAGTTAGTTATGAAAGAGTCCTTGAGGTGTAAGAGATTTCTAGAGGGGCTTCACATCGATATCCTTGTGCAGTTGGTGGTAGACCCTCTTAGAGTGTTTTTAGAACTGAAATACAATATAAGGTCGAGGATAGGGTGTAGAGTGTGAGAAAAAGCTTATTGGGTGAGTCAGGTATCCAAGTATGAGAACTTGTATATCAGTAGATATGTCTTAGTTGGTGGCCAAGAGGGCCAAAGATTTATATGAGCATAGGAGAGTGATATCAGCTTTGTCACTCTACCAAGTCAAAGTTTAGAAGAAAAGTCTCATAGAAACCATCAACTTTGTAGTTAATGCTAGGTGTTGGTAACTCCAATAGATTCTTGGATTATTCAGAGTGCGATCATTGTGGCAAGAAGCATTAAGAAATGTGCTTTAGACTCTCTAGGAAGTGTTATAGATATGGATCCTTAGAGCATGTACTAAAGGATTACCCTAGTTCAGATGACGATGTTTTTAGCTCGATCGAGGGAAATGATCCTAGTAGCTCAATATGATAAGGAGCCTACCCATAGAGGTGTTAATCATATGCTCTAAGAATGAAAGTAGATTAGCTAATCGACCTATTCTCGATTTGACGGTGCGTGATCCTATTCGTCAGATCACAGAGAGGTAGGGTCAGAATGTTAACACCACAGATGAGATGTCAATGAACTATGTATGAAAAGTATTCGTGTATAGGATCCGAGCGTGAGTATACAAGTGCCTAGTTGGTGGGCCTTAACAGAATAGTCGAGGTTACCTTAGCTATTATTAGAGGGCTTGAATCAGACAGATATTCGATCTGAAGGAAGTTATTAGCACGAGTGATACTTAGACTTGGGGTGGTTGTGTAACCGATATGATACTTTAAGGATGTTTTTGTTTTATCTGGTAGAGAATCGTATGACCCGTAGAGATTTTTGAAGTTTAACCTTGGAGAAAGGATCTTCATTAGAGTGTTAAGAATACCCAAGTTACTCCAGATTGTAGGATGATCATCTTAGCTGTCAGACTCATCAGGATATATCATATCTGGTGCTAAAGCACTTCAATTCCTAACTAGGCGCAGATGCCCCAAGTACTCTCGAGAAGTAAGTTGGTAGGATGTACGTTCCGATGCACCAATTCTGGAATTTCACCCTAAGTACTAAGGCCACTATAGGTTAGATAGCGAGTTAATAGTCTCAAGGTGTAGAGAACCCTCCAATTTTGTCTTGATGCATTAATTCATAAAAAATAAATGATTTAGCTAGGTAAGCCAAGTTTTATATGTCGTCGTGTTGGTATATGAGCGTGAGATAGATATGACACTTAACAGTATGTAGCACTATGTAATATCATGGATATCAGTGCTTAAGAGTAAAAGAAATCAAGTATGTTAAGCATTGTTTGATTAGCGTTAGTCGTCATCAAATATTTCAATGGTGGTAAATGATAGTGAGTATAAGACGTATAGTTTTAGAATCCTTAAGTTAGAGTGTAGTTACGTGATGTGTACTCTCCAAGAAAGCCAGATGTTTCTAGTTTTGCTAGGCAAATGGCCAATTTTTAGTTGAATACCTTATATGTACAATCTATAAACCGTAGGGTAAATGAGAAACAATCAGGTAGCATAAACAAGTATTGAGTCAGAGTTACGGAGTAGAAGCGTAATCAATATGGAGAAAACCAGGATTTGTTAACAAACCTTCAGTAGTTGATATCGAGACTGTGTTGACAAGTATCGTAAGATATCAACGTGTAGCATAACGAGTTACCTAAGTTCAGTAAGTAAAGGAGATCTATAAGAAGGTGCAGTATGTTAACTTAATTGAGTAAAACTAACCAATGAAGGATTTAGCAATGGCAGTTGAATCGTGGAGTAGCATTTTCCTTGTGCATTTTATGCTTTCAATGTTAGACAACAAGAATGCAATTCCTTGGCTTCATGCCTCTCGAAGGTTTTTGTTTGAGGTTGACATAAGTAGCACCTAATCAGAAAAGGGCGATATAAATCTGTTTGTAAGTTTTCTAGTTGCAAGTCATGTTGTGGATAATTTCGAGGATGAAATTTCTTTCAAGGAAGGGAAAGTTATAACACCCTAAATTTCAGGCTAGTAGTTTTAGGTTTACCCGAGAGGCATGTGGATCTCATGAATTTCATATGTTAAGTCATTGGGCCGAGTTGGACATGGGCTCAATTAGCCATAAAAATAGGGTTTTTGAATAGTGAAAATATGAGAAAAGACCAAGGCGTAATTTTCCCATTTTATAAAGATGAGGGATTTTATCTCATTTCATCTTCTTCTTCCTTTCATATTTCTTCATTCTTATTTACTCCTTTATCCTCTCCAAGCTCCACATCTCAAGAGAAAATAGGGGTTTTATCATCGAAGCCTAGAGAAAAGTGTTTGATGTTTAAATGAGCTTTATTTCAGGATTCCCACACCAAGGTAGATTATTTATAATCCTTTGGAGTGTTAAGGTTTTCATAAAAATAAAGAATTGCTAAGATTTGGGTGTTTGAGAATTTTAGGGTTTTACACTTGAGTTCATAATTAAATGATGTTTTAGAAGTTACAAATATGTTTTTATTCCACTTTATCACCCTAAGTAACTTCCTAAAAATTTAGCACATGATTATGAATCAAACTAAGACCTTTGGGATGAATTTTGGGTGTTTTCCAAGCCTAAACAAGTTATTTTTTGGTTCAAGTATCGATACTGGATGAATAATATTGATACTATATGAACTGGGTCAAAATTTGGGCATTTCTAGCTAAGTGTATCGTTACTTTCCCAAGAGTATTGATACTTTCCCCAAGAGTATTGATACTTTCCCAAGAGTATCAATACTTTCCCCAAGAGTATGGATACTTTCCAAGAGTATCGATACATTCCATAGAGTATCTATACTGAGGGTACATGGTATCGATATTAGGCCACATTTTAGCAAACAAAAGTCATTTTTGGTATCAATACTCATAGGGGTATCGATACTTGACCCTAGGGTATCGATACGGCATGTAGAATATCGATACTTCCCACATTAGATGGTTATATTTGTCCTGTTGGCCCGTAAGAGCTAAGGATGATTTGTAATGGTAGAACTTAGTCTATGGGGGACATAAATGACCAAACATACCTAGAAACACTCGTAGGAATGGGTTACAACCAATATAACCATACCAAGTGCAATACGTAGAAATACCTTTAGTTGAGCATGTATTCAAATGGTTGAGAACGAGAACCATTGCAGGGTATGTATCAACAAGTGATATG